GCCTGCCCCCCCGGTTCCCGTCGGGCCCCTGCCCTGCCCCGCAGAAGGGCGATGCCGGCTGCGCCTCAGCAGTCTGGGAAGAGAAAAGTCCTCGGTGCTCTGAAGTGTAATTAACTGGGATAAGGAGCAGGGAGTGAGCCAGGCTCTGCTTGAAATTCCTTCAGTTTTCAGCTTTGTGGGAAGCAGCTACAGGGAGACCAGAGTTGACGTTTAGTTAAATGCGTTTCAGCTCTTTCTTAGAGATGCTTTGAACCGCTTTGTTCATGAATTCCTGCGCACCGGTGCGGATGGCTGTGTCGGAGATGTGGCAGCACGCCTGCTGTAAGATGGAAGAGAGAGAGACAAAGGCATGGCTGTCCCTTGGGCAGCCCAGAGATAGTTGTGTGAGAGATGTCAGGCGCCCGCTAGACTCCACTCAACAGTGCTTATCCCAAACCCACCGGCCTGGTAGTTTTAGCAGGACAGAGATGATGCGCTGGGAGGGTGCGTATGGGCCAGAGGAAGGATCCCATCCCATGGGAGAGACCCCACCCCATCAGAGACAAGGACGGGCTCTTTTTGGCTCCCCACCCCGCCCCCTCCCCGTGACCTGCTGGGCTTCCAGTCACAGATCTCAATCAATGTTGAGGACTGTGAGGACACGAAGGACGTCAAGGAGCACTGGGGCATCAAGACCAGCCACCACAGGAACTCGTGCTCCAGCGACCAGTCCGAGCACCCGCTGCTGCGGCGCAAGAGCATGCAGTGGGCGCGCCGGCTGAGCAGGAAGGGCAACAAGCACTCCAGCAAGACGGCCGAGTGGATCAGCCAGCAGCGCCTCAGCTTGTACCGGCGCTCCGAGAGGCAGGAGCTTTCCGAGCTCGTCAAAAACCGTATGAAGCACCTGGGCTTGCCCACGACCGGGTACGGTAAGTGCCGTTCGGTTGCGCTTCTCTGCCGTGGTGCATCCCGCTCGCGGGGCTCCTCAGGGAACCCTGTGCCGAGCCTAACCCCAAGCTGAGCCTAACCCCATGCCGTGCCTAACCCCAAGCCAAGCGTGACCCCCGCGCCAAGCCTGACCCCGCGGGTGCTGCTGGGCCCGGCTCCAAGCGGCGCCTCGTTCCCCGGCTTGCTTGTGCTTCTGCAGACGAGCGTGTTCAAGGCTGGGGTCCTGCAGCACAGACCCCC